GAAACAAACACCATAAAAAAAACCTGAATAATATACGTAGAATAATTTTGTTACTGCAAGCTGTAATTTAATATGTAATCTAATTTATTCAAATTCAAAATTCTCATAATCTTGCATAAAACAAAGATGAAATTTAGAATTATATGTGGCGTAGCAACGGCCATAGACAACCGTCAATCACGCATTAGAGAATGGATACTGATATGCACACTGTTGTTCGCTCTGAGTAGAAATAATCCCGTCACTTGATACATTAGTGTGGGCTAGATAGAAGAGCACTTCACTAATGAGTATTTCCACTAATCTTGAGAAAACCTGTAGGTTTTGGATGATAGCTTTTCACACAGATACTGCACTTTGATTTACTAAAGTTAAAATGTTCACAAAAAATAAAACACCTTGAATTAGACTATGAATCCTTCATAGACATTTTGATGAAATAAAAATTTCTACAAATTACAGTTAAAAAGGAACAACAAAACATGAACAGAATGTTACAAACAACCCTTTCCATTTTAGTGGTCTGTAACCACTTGATCGGAAGTTTTATCTCATTACATTATCGTACTTTACTGATTCTATAACAGATTTAATGTGATTAAATGTTCACTTTGATCACGTGTCCTTAACATGTTTCGACTTTAAAATTAAACTGAATTACGTCATACAATAAGAATTTATCTTCGTTTAAGCAGGACCCATGACGTAAGTTCTCTCACGTGAAAAGCTGGAAAAATCGATAGCCTCGGGCAACATTTTTTTATTAAACATATAAAATATCCTGAAGTTCATGCTCATGTACAAAAATATACTATTTACATTTGAACACATAAGTTTATTATACATATCATTTTCATGATTGTTCATTAAGTGAAACCAAGAAAGACGATATAAAGTAATATATCTTTAATTAATAAAACGTTAATCACATCAGTACAAGTTCAAACTTATCTTAACTTTTCATTAAAAGAAACTTCAGAAAATACTTAGATTATCGAATCAACGTCTCTGACTACTGATTCGTAGTAAACTTTTGTTAGAGATGTTTATTATGGACTTCTCTAGCCTCTCATTCTTTGGTTTGTTTGTAATTAAGCACAAAGCTACACAATGGACTATCTGTGCTCTGCCCACCACGGGTATCGAAACCAGGATTCTAGCGTAAGTCTGTAGACATACTGCTGTGCCACTGAGGGGCTCATTCATTGGCAATGCTTATAACTTCTTACTGAGTCTTTCTTCAGGACTGATAAAGAACGGAGCATGGAATTCGTCAAAAAAAAAACAGATTAGGCAGGGAAATCAGATATGAGATTTTATAACGTGTTAACTATAATTCCACAGACCACACTAAATCAACAGTCATGTGATACATATTTTTTTCTATAAGGAGTTATGAACAAGAACATTTAATGACCTTCGTTTTGTCAGTTTACAAAAAGATTTGTTTAAAAGTTTGATATGGATCGATTTCGAGAACACCGATTCTCGTTTCAAACTCCTAACCAACCATTCAGCTTCATATGACAGAATAAATGTGTTGTAATAGTTAGTATTGATACTTGTTTCTTAAAGTACAAGAGACAGGAAACAGCGTGTTATTGAACATATTTCAGATTTCCTACTAGCCAACACAAATAAGTTTGGTATATTTCATTAATTAATTCAGTGAAATCGTGGGGGAATGTCACCTCAATTTACTTCTTTGAAATTTTCATATTGTTACGTCTCTGTTTGTTTGTTTTTTCCGTAAAAAATATTTCCGAAGAAACTTTAGCGATACAAGTCTTTTCTTAAATAAAACTAGTTTATTCTTTATCAATACAACTTTGCAGTACACTTAATTTCCACAATCAGTTTAACTTAAACACACGCTAGAATTCACAACGAAAGATTC